GTACTTGAGAGGGCATAGAGAGCAGTGTGTGCTATGTGATCATCATCCACTCGCACTTGACGGTGATAAGATGACGTTCAATTCAGGTCTGAGTATGGTTTTACTGGCACTTGCAAGCGTGTGCGGTGCAGTACGAACCTGTGGGAACATATATATCGGCCCTCGAAGGGATACATGAGGTACAATAACAACATCACCGGTATATACTCTCACTTGAAGCACATAGACGTCCCACACGCTCAAGTCCAAGACACTGAACGTGCAGCTGACAGGGATGGCAAACGACCCAATACTCTTGTACTCGAAGGGGATAGGAACGTTTGCCAAGCAGATATGATATTCTGGCATGTGAAAGTCTTTGTCATGTTCACTCAACGGATTGGGAAGGTCTGTCACGCATCTGCTGCGAAGCACTTGGGTTTGCAATGCTCTAATCGGTTTCGTCAAGGACACCTAAGGGAAATCCTATTGAGTGCATATGCTACGAAGGAGCAACCCACCTGACGTGAAGATAAAACTTCACACAACAATAACAGTAACATATACAATGAAGTTGCATCGCGTACAAATCAGCGGAATGCGATTCAGCACGACAAGACTCTCTTTGCAATACGCCGCGATATACTATCAATACATTCTGACTGCACACAATACATCGTCGATGGAGCTGTCGTGACAACCAAATGCACAAATTAACGATTACATGCAGAACAATTGCTAGAGCAACCTATTTTGATAAATGAATACATGCTAATAACAATTGCTTAAACAATATATTTCTGCTCTCATATCCACTTTAGAGTACACACTCATGTTCATCCCACATTGACATCTACTTCCCTGTCGCTCTGGCACCTATAGTGTAGATATGCAAACTGCACAATCAACGCCATCATACCTTTCGTCATATCCTTTGGACAGAGTGAAACCTTCGGCTGTGCGGTGAGTGTGCCGGCTTCGGCGTTAAAGAAGTCCTTCGCACTAAGTAAAGCCTCCCAGTCCTTTACCACTTCTCCGAACACATCGTCTTGGAAGACTTCAGTCTGAGTATTGTGCAGGTGGGAGACAACATTGAATGGGATTAGAACCGCATCTCGAATTTTAGTAGATCCACCCGCAGAAATAGTCATCGTACAGTACACCTTTATCCAGGCTATACAACAACAGTCCCTGCCGCAAACCCAGCTATACTAAACACTAAGTTCTATACTTTGCAAAGCTACCTATCCTGTTAATCCACCACGATTGTTCAATTCGTTTGCAACGCAAATACGGCACCGCACTGACATGTAGGCTGTCAATAGATGCTGTTCCATCCACCTATCCCCCAGGAACAATCGAACCGCACAAACACACTGAGACACATCTGCAAAATACTACTACATCGCACAGCATACCCTTGTCCTTGGTACAGAGAACGACACTGTTTCCACATGGCTATTGCACAGGCGAACGGCCCTGGCCACCTCAACATTCCTATCGAGCGTAAATAAAAGAAGACTTAGGTGAATATATTCCGGGCAGGCATCAAAGGGACACAATACATCGTAGTACTATCCTCATAGAAGGACACAATACATTGTAGTACTATCCTTATAATTGTTCATTATTTGGCAACTTGTTAGCAAAGTAGGTGAAGCGAGAACTCTAGTCCAAAACGTTCAATCATATACCCTTAAGCACAGCAAATTCGTAGACACAGACAGTCAATTGGTGTTTGGTTTGCATACAGAAACCATCAGCATATTTGTGGGTGCGGAGTACTCGTCTCAGTCTCATAGACACAATAATCACACGTGTGGATATGGATGGCTGCCTAGATGTGCTATATACAAGCATGAAACTCTAGATGTAACGACCAGCACCACAACCTTGCATCCTGTGGGTAGGCCCACAGTACTACAATGCCTTATCCCTAAAACCCAAACAGCGCCACCTATTCACTCATATGTCTGACCGCATACAGCTGAAGAATACTGCACGAGCAAGTTCCAGCCACTGATGCCAGAATTCTATATAGCGTTAGGGGTGGCCTATTGAGGCTTGAGTGTGACTGTAACTGTATCCCATGGCGCATAGGAAGCACGCCCACAACCTGAAGTGAACCACTTTTGTATACGCCCACTACTAATTGCTGCAGCATAACCGTATGTATTTTCGGGACTATACCCCAAAATAAAAATTATACCACACTAAAGAGCGCTGACATACCTTACGTCGCACAGATGCTTCTGTAGATACGAGAGTCCAAGGGTCACACCCGCGAGCATGCACGAATCCAGGGCAAAACTCTTGCCGTCCGCCGTGACCTCTACTAGTTGAACACTATTATCTCCCTAGGATAAGGGGTTGACAAGCCAAATTAGCATGGTCAACCAGGCCGACTGTATATATGAGAATATATATA